CCGATGTGGTTAATCACCTTACATACCATAATCTGCTCTCAGACAAGCAATATGGTTTCCGCTACGCCCGATCTACAGCTGATGTGCTTACGGTCATCACTGAAACCGTCTACCAAGCCCTTCAAAATAACGGTGAGGCTCGTGCTGTGGCCCTCGACATCTCCAAAGCATTCGATAGGGTTTGGCACGCCGGCCTTCTTCGTAAGCTCCAGGGGTATGGTGTTACTGGTCAACTGTTTGATCTAATACAATCATTCCTGTCTAACCGAGAATTGAAGGTCGTTCTCAACGGATTCTCCTCCAGTTCCTATCCCACGAACGCAGGTGTGCCCCAAGGCTCCATCCTTGGCCCCACTCTTTTCCTTATTTTCATCAATGACCTTCGTGAAGCTATAGATTCCCAAGTTGGCATCTATGCAGACGACACTACAATTTACTCCTGCCTCAAAAACAAATCTAGTGTCGGCGACAAAACTAACCTTGCTGTGCGTCTTGAAATGGACCTCCAATCGGTTGTTAACTGGGGCAAGAATTGGCTGGTCAACTTTAACGCCACAAAAACTAAATTACTCTCAATTAACCACCATAGAGATCCTTCCCTGTCCCCCATTAAAATGTCTGATAGTCAACTTCCTGAGAGCAACTCCCTGCGTCTGCTCGGTCTCACGCTGACTGCTGACCTGAGATGGAACAAATACATTGAGTCAATTGCTTCTTCCACCGCGAGGAAAGTTAGCTCTCTGTGCCGCGCCAGGAAATTTTTTTCCCCTGAATCGATACTTCAAATATACAAAACAACCATTCGCCCTTGCATGGAGTATTGCTGCCATATATGGTCTGGAGCACCTTCTGCTTACCTCGGAGTTCTTGACAAGATCCAGAGACGGATATGTAATCTAATTGGCCCTGATCTAGCGTCTCGTCTGCAGTCACTCTCTCACAGACGCGCCGTCGCCCTCTCTCTGTCTTTTCAACAAATACTTCCATGGTAACTGCTCTGATGAGCTGCTCTCTGGTTCCCCAGACTCCATGAATTCAAGCGCCCTACGAGGCTGGCATCCCGCTCCCACCCTTACACCGTAGAAACCTTCAATGTAGCCGTCTCTTCTACTCCAATAGCTTCATACCTCGCACCTCTCGCCAGTGGAACACCCTCCCCAATTACTGTTTCCCTGAAAGCTATAATCTCCACCTATTCAAATGTAATGTCAATCGACATCTCCAGTTACCTTGATCTACCCACTATCCTTCTCCTCTTCCTTTCTTCTATCCTTCCTATCTGCTCTCGCTCTAAATCTTCTGCATCCCCTGCATCCTAGTGGCTTCACGCCTTTCTTGGGGCACAATGCTTTAAAAAAAAATACCAATAAATTAATCCATGCACTTGAAAGGATCACAACCAAAATAAATCGACATGATATGTCTTAATTATTTAAACAAACTGTTTGAATGAAAATATAATGCCTACTTACACACTGCTTACTAACATGGCATCCATGTTGCGTTCAGTCCATTCCCTGCTTCCATGCTAATTGTTCTGTTACTTCGAATTTACGAATTTTAAGAGGAGTACTAGATTAGCAACCTGGTCTCCTTACTTTAAAGTTGAAATGGCGAGATATAACCGGATGCTCTATATTAATATTCTTCTCTTGAACTTGTCGTTTGTGGAACCCTCTTCCGGTGTCTGGCTTTCCACTGATCTTCGGCCTTTAAAAATGTCAAATGCACCGTCACACGTTATCCGGTCTTAATTCCGGTTCCTAGTTTGTTTTCTCTCTCGAAATGTTCTTTTTCTCATTCTTTCACTGAGTAATTTCTTGCGACACAGTGGATCTATTGCCTTGTTTAGGGTTATATGAGATTATATACATATTTCTTCATGTCTATTGAGGTGTTGAGATCACTTTCGAAGAGTTTTGATAAGCGTACATATGAAATATTACCGCAGTCGGAACATCTCTCAAATATTGACAGTATAAAAGAAATGATGTAATAGACTCCATGGTTTCTTATACGTTTCTAGAATATCAAGTATTTATTACACAACTTTACTAACGTGAAGCAAGTGGAACTTGGGTTTGCGAAATAATGAAATATCTTAAGAGACTTCCGGAAAATATTTGCTTAGTGTTTCAAAGCAGCTTTGTTGAATTTGTCATAAGATAGCACCTCTTCCGACTTCAACTGGCGAACATCGATTCAAATACTGAACAAAATGCGGAGCTGCATGCGTTAATTTACGTGAGAAATATTCGGTACTTGCCTAAAAGCCGACCTTTTTGTTGACTTTGGGTAACCTCCTGTAGAGGGCTTTTTGATCCTGGGTCCATTTTACCTTCAGCGTTCTATGTACGTAAAAGTTATAGTTTAGAAATAATAAAATTATTTTATTTTTATTCGACACCTTACTTCGGTATTATCTTTCTTCATATACGCAACCGATCTCCCTAATTCGTTTACATTTGCAATTTTTATTTTCTTTTTAATATCACCATTCCTAATCATCCATTCACCTAAGTCACTCTTAAAATATATTAAGAAACCCAAACTATGTAATATTTCGAATATGTCATAGTAAGCGTTCTAGAAGAGGAAGCAATAAAAAGAACACACGAGCAACGTACCTTACCCCGCTTTAGTTTTAGTTAAGGTTTAATTAGACAATATCAATTGAAATTGCGGCGAAATTAAAGTTAAACCTTTAATAAAAAAAAATCGTTCCTTTCACTGTTCGATATTTAAATTTAAGTTTAAATGGGTTATTTAATTTTTAATCGGGTGACGCTGCAGTAGTTACTGTTTTATACCCCCCACCCCAGAGGTCAGGTTGCGACACAAAGTCGGTTTAATGTGGGGAGCCCGAGTGCGTACACCCGGGCTAGGAACAAAATTTGCCATAGACCCCGCAGCTGTTCCCCAAGGCTAGGCACCTCTCAGTATAATTTTCCTCATTCGACGGAGTCGCCCCTTAGCCGCTCTGCCCAAAGACAGAGACACAAATGAGAGATGATAAATAGGTTGTTGAAACTACACGAGAGCAAGTAGTTACTACCAGTTACTTCAGGTTGTTTATGATTCACCGAGATTGAGAAGCGGACGTACAGGCGGACACTCGTACACTGCGCTTTATTTATGTAGATGCCCATCTTTGTCTGGTAAGATGGTCAGGATAAACCGATACCTGGCGAGGATCGAATTTACTGCCTAAAGAACGTTATGGCTAATTGGTTTCCTGCCAACCTAACTGTTGATCATATACGTTTTTCGTATTTGTATCGTTGTTTATATATATGACGTCTTCCGTCGATATAATGTCGTTTTACTTAGAATAAAATTAATTTAACCAAATCTGTCGAAAAATTCGGTAACGTGAACGATACACTCTCCGGGTGTCTGTCTGTCTGACTATGAGAGAGTTCGCGATTTTTCTATGACGGAGTTTCAGCGAGTTTAAATCGGAAAATAGTGGTTTTATTTCATTTATATATTATTTAGACACAAATTAATAATTGACTATGCTTCAATATTTACATTATTCGGACTATTGTTCTAATCTTTGTTGCCATGTTTATCACAACGTTTCGGCTTTCTTCAGGTGGTTGGAATGTCGAACAGAACTTTTTATTTCGCTCACTGGGGTAGTTTCATGTGCCATGTTTAATGGATGTCAGTTATCTTCTGTTCATACCCCCTCTGAAAGTTCTCCACTGCCTTAACCAGGTATTGAACTCACGTTTTGTCTCTAAGTTTATCACACAGTTTCGGCCGTTGTACGCTCCGGCCTTCTTCAGGTTGTGATAAAAATGGCAAAAAAGATGAGGACAATAGTCCGATTAATGTAAATAGTGTACATGCCTCATCTCAGAAATATAGAATGACACTGACTATGCTTCATTTTACTTCTGTTGTTTTGATCCAAACTAACAGATTAGTATTTCATTTTGATTATGCAAACGACTAAAATAAGAATAAGCCATTCGTAACATTTTAAATCATGTACCCGGCACTTGGCATTCAGGATGAGGTTATAAATGCCACATAAGAATTTTTTTTCAAATTGTACAAGCCTCGAGGGCCAGACTCTAGGAGGCAATTTGTGCGGACATGAGTGGAAGATAACGGTTAACCCGAGCCTTGAACAGATTGTAATGATCGGAGAAACAACTTCTTGGGAGTCGTTCCACAGAGCAGTGGTTCGCAAGATGGAATATGGGGGTGGGTATGGGTGGTTTACTACTATGTAAGTGGCATGGCGTCTCCTTGCTGTGAAGGTCTGAACTGATGGGTCAAAGAAAATATTTTGTACGAGAACTTTCCGTAGAACTAGTGATAGAGCATCGAGAGACTTGCCTCATCCTTTAAGAGAAGTCGGAGGGTGAAGAATAATTCGTCGCTCGGAAACGCTTTCTGTCGAGGCTGGAGAGTAAGCACTGGGCAGCTCCTATCCAAATATGACAATGGTACTTCCAATTTAGTCTTTTGTTTTTAAGCATTTCACCCCTAGCAAGGCGGGAAGCCACTAGCACGCAAGGGGTTATAGAGGATTTGGAGCGAGAGCAGGTAGGAATGATAGAGGAAAGGATGAGGAGAAGGATAGTGGATAGATCAAGGCAACTGGAGACGTCGATTTACATTACATTTGAATATTTGGAGATTATACCTCTCAGGGAAACTGGAATAGGGAAGGGAGTTCCACAGGCGAGAGGTGCGAGACATGAAGCTATTGGAGTAGAAGAGGCGGCTACATTTAAAAGTTTCAACGGTGAAAGTGTGAGAGAGGGATGCCAGCCTCGTAGGACCCTTGAATTTGCGAAGTCTTGGAACCAGCGAAAACAGCTCATCGGAGCAATTACCATGAAAGTATTTGTAAAAAAAAAGACAGAGAGAGGTGACGGCACGTCTGTGAGAGAGCGGCTGCAGAAAAATTAACCAAATCGTTGTCATTGATTTATTTCCAACTTTTATTCACGCTATACTTGCTCATTTTACCTTAAGTTTTAAGGAAAACACAAAATGGGAAAAGAGAGTCTGAACACACGGAACATTGAAGCAAGAGACACGTGGATTGGGGAAACAGAGCAAGCGACTAATGAGCTTGACTGAATACAGCGCAAAACACGGACAATAAAAGCTGTGAACAGTCATGAACATGGACGTCATGAATGGGTTGCTAAAACGTCTTTCTGATATCTTTAAGTAACATGCTTCGGGAATAATGTACAAGTCTCCTCTAAATCTATTGCATTGTCAGTAGCATTATATATATATATATATATATATATATATATATATATATATATATATGGTTGTCGATATCAATGGTTTGATAATAATTTGAGTATTGTGTCTGATTCGCCATTGTAACCTACCGTAATTCCCCATATATAACACGCCTTCATTCATAATGCGCGCTCCTAAAACTGTGCTCAAAGTATGCGAAAATGTTTCTACTCATGCATTATACGCAGCCCTTGTTTGGTAATCAAACACTATAAGTTGTAGCTCTCCAATTTAATTACGGCTAGCGTTTCCAGTTCTTATTTTAAAATATTGTTTTAAACATAGAACATTGTAATTTAGTTTTAAGATTATTATTTTAATTTTGCGGAAAAGTTTTTTTTTATTTGTGCATACTAAGCACTTCTGACTTTGCTTATTATTTTTAGAAAAATAATGCGTATTATACATGGGAAATTACGGTAATTGTTAAGGCAATACCATTGAAAGTGCAGATTCTATTCTAATGAACTGGCAGTTGTGTGTAACAAAAACAATAGAAAGGCTTTTTGGGTTAATGCCCAAAGCTGATATAACCATTATCAGTTATCACAGACCATATAAAATGTGCAGTGAAGTTTGCGCGTATTATATGCTTTCAACAGCGTCACAGATTTGAACAAATTTTTAATTATTTAACACTTATTTTGGGAATGTTTTCAGTTCAGCTGAGAATAGAAATAACATGAATAAATTTCAACGAGGTTAACTTGTGAGGCCTACAGAAATAGAAACTGTACAGTTGAAAGGGTGTGTAATATATATATATATATATATATATATATATAGCGAGAGAGGAAGAGAATGAGTGCGAGAGAACGACAGAGGAAGAGAATAAGCGAGAGAGAGCGACAGAGGAAGAGAATGAGCGCGCGCGCGAGAGAGAGAGAGAGGAAGAGAATGAGCGCAGGGGAGAGAGGAAGAGAATGAGCAAGGGGGAGAGAGCGTCAGAGGAAGAGATATAGAGAGAGCGACAGAGGAAGAGAATGAGCGTCTGAGAGAGCGACAGAGGAACGGACTGAAAGTCCGAGAGAGCGACAGAGGAACGGAATGAGCGTCCGAGAGAGCGACAGAGGAACGGACTGAAAGTCCGAGAGGGCGACAGAGGAACGGAATGAGCGTCCGAGAGAGCGACAGAGGAACGGAATGAAAGTCCGAGAGAGCGACAGAGGAACGGAATGAGCGTCCGAGAGAGCGATAGAGGAACGGAATGAAAGTCCGAGAGCGGGACGACAGAGGAACGGAAAAGAGGGAAAGTCCGAGAGAGCGACAGAGGAACGGAATGAAAGTCTGAGGAGAGCGAGAGAGGAACGGAATGGCGTCGGAAGTCAGAGGAGAGGGTGACAGAGGAACGGAATGATTGCGTCGAGAGCGACAGAGGAACGGAATGAAAGTCGCGACAGAGGAATGGAATGAGCGTCTGAGAGCGACAGAGGAAGAGAGCGACAGAAGAACGGTATGAGCGTCCGAGAGAGCGACAGAGGAACGGAATAAAAGTCCGAGAGAGCGACAGAGGAACGGAATGAGCGTCTGAGAGAGCGACAGAAGAACGGTATGAGCGTCCGAGAGAGCGACAGAGGAAAATGAGAATGAAGCGTCCGAGAGAGCGACAGAGGAACGGAATGAGCGTCCGAGAGAGCGACAGAGGAACGGAATGAAAGTCCGAGAGAGCGACAGAGGAACGGAATGAGCGTCTGAGAGAGCGACAGAGGAACGGAATGAAAGTCCGAGAGAGCGACAGAGGAACGGAATGAGCGTCTGAGAGAGCGACAGAGGAACGGAATGAGAGTCCGAGAGAGCGACAGAAGGAAGCGTCTGAGAGAGCGCGTCGGGAATGAGAGAGCGAGCGACAGAGGAACGGAATGAGCGTCTGAGAGAGCGCAATGAAACGGACTGAAAGGAGAGGGCGACAGAACGGGAAGTCCGGAAGAGCGACAGAAACAAAATGAGCGTCCGAGAGAGCGACAGAGGAACGGGAAATGAGGGTCAGAGGAACGGAAGAGCGAGATAGGGAGCGGGAGAGCGACAGAAGAACCGGGTATGAGCGAATGAAGGAACGGAATGAGAGAGAGAGCGACAGAGGAACGGAATGAGCGTCTGAGAGAGCGACAGAAGAACGGAATGAGCGTCGAGAGAGCGACAGAGGAACGGAATAAGCGTCCTGAGAGAGCGACAGAGGAACGGAATGAGCGTCTGAGAGAGCGACAGAGGAACGGAATGAAAGTCTGAGAGAGCGACAGAGGAATGGAGCGTCTGAGAGAACAGAGGGAATGAAAGTCTGAGAGAGCGACAGAGGAACGGAATGAGCGTCCGAGAGAGCGACAGAGGAACGAATGAAAGTCCGAGAGAGCGACAGAGGAACGGAATGAAACGAGAATGAAGAGGAACGGAATGAGCGTCTGAGAGAGCAACAGAGGAACGGAATGAGCGTGAGAGAGCGACAGAGAACGGAATGCGCGTCCGAGAGAGCGACAGAGGAACGGAATGAGCGTCCGAGAGAGCGACAGAGGAACGGAATGAAAGTCCGAGAGAGAACGGACAGAGGAACGGAATGCGCGTCTGAGAGCGAGAACGGAATGAGTCGAGCGTCCGAGAGAGCGACAGGAACGGAATGAGCGTCTGAGAGAGCGACAGAGGAACGGAATGAAAGTCTGAGAGAGGCGACAGAGGAACAGAGGAATGAGCGTCCGAGAGAGCAACAGAGGAACGGAATGAGCGTCTGAGAGAGCGACAGAGGAACGGAATGAAAGTCTGAGAGAGCGACAGAGGAACGGAATGAGCGTCTGAGAGCGACAGAGGAACGGAATGAAAGTCCGAGAGAACGATAGAGGAACGGAAATGAGAGAGTCTGAGAGAGAATGAAAGTCCGAGAGCGACAGAGGAACGGAAATGAGCGTCTGAGAGAGCGACAGAGGAACGGGAGCGTCGAGAGAGCGACAGAGGAACGCGTCCGAGAGAGCGACAGAGGAACGGAATGCGAAAGTCCGAGAGAGCGACAGAGGAACGGAATGAGCGTCTGAGAGAGCGATAGGAGGAACGGAATGAAAGTCCGAGAGAGCGACAGAGGAACGGAATGAGCGGAAGCGACAGAGGAACGGAAAGTCGTCCGGGAGAGCGACAGAGGAACGGAATGAAAGTCTGAGAGAGCGACAGAGGAATGAATGAAATGAGACGTCGGAAGAGAGTCGAGAGAGCGAGGAACGGAATGAAAGTCTGAGAGAGCGACAGAGGAACGGAAATGAGCGTCTGAGAGCGACAGAGGAACGGGAATCCGAGAGAGCGACAGAGGAACGGAATGAAAGTCCGGAGAGACAGAGGAACGGAATGAGCGTCCGAGAGAGCGACAGAGGAACGGAATGAGCGTCCGAGAGGCGATAGAGGAAGAATGAGCGTCCGGAGAGAGTCTGAGAGAGCGAACGGAATGAAAGTCCGAGAGAGCGACAGAGGAACGGAATGAAAGTCCGAGAGAGCGACAGAGGAACGGAATGAACGGAAGCGAAAGAACGGAGAGCGTCCGACAGAGCGAACGGAATGAGCGTCTGAGAGAGCGACAGAGGAACGGAATGAGTCGTCCGACAGAGGAACGAGCGTCGAGAGAGCGATAGAGGAACGGAATGAGCGTCTGAGAGCGACAGAGAAACGGAATGAAAGTCCGAGAGAGCGATAGAGGAACGGAATGAGCGTCTGAGAGAGCGACAGAGGAACGGAATGAAAGTCCGAGAGAGCGACAGAGGAACGGAATGAGCGTCTGAGAGATAGCGAGAATGGGAATTTTACGCATTATGTCATTTATCCTTACGCCCATTGACCGATTTGTTTTATTCGGCTTATCAACCTTTTCTCAGATATATAAAGCCGAAGCATAATTCAGAATGTAAAAGTGATTCTTTTTCTTTTGTGAATGAATATTGCATTAAGTATTTTATTTTATTATTGGAGAATAACAATGTCAGTTCGCGCTGAAGATTCCTACCTTTTCTAAATATATTTGTACCTAAATGTAACGACGCTGACTAGCATTTGAGCTCGTTACTCTGATCTTTCATTCCTAGCTATCCATTACACCACCCGCACATCTAACCGTACGCCCATTCGAACGCAAAAACGCTGAGTCTAAAGTGAATGTCTCATGTGGGACAAGGGTTGCAAAATGCAAGCCCTTCCTCAGCATTTTATATCTGATGACGCCTCTGGTGCCTGGGTTTAACCTTCACCCCAAAGCATAATAACTGTAACCAACTAAGTAAAGAAAAAAAAAAGTTATTTATCTGTAGGCTGCGTGGAACGGAATATGGCAGAAATCCAAGTTTAAAGTTAGAGTCCCATGCGAACGTATGGAACCAGAGGACACAACGCAGTTCTCACGACATTTTCCCTTCTGGGGGCATCTCAGTCGCCGAAGATTAACCATATGTCTCTCTTAAGGGAGAAGTTTGGCTTGGTGGGAAAGACTTTTTGAAACTGAACTGAAATGTAAACAACCAAAATAATTTTTTATCGACCAAAATTTGTTACTACTCTCTGGAATCCAAGTTCGACAATTTTCCTTTGAATTGCTCTTTTAAATTTGCAAACGAGTGGAGTCATATCAGATGTCACTAGGACACCTCGATGTGGTGTAACGGTTAGCAAGCTTGTCTCCATAGAAATCATTACAAGTGAATAGCGAGTTCGATCTTCACTGGGCTCCTCATGCTTTCGGTCTTAGAAAAATCAACATATGTTTCACTGTGTTGGGGTAACCAAGTTGTAGGCGTGACTAACAATTTTGTATAGATGTCCTTATATCCGTCTCAATGCTCGGCAGATGCCTCGTTGTTTAATATAATCTGGTACACAATAATTCTTTTAAATAAGATTTTCACAGGATTATTTAAATTTCTGATACTTGGGTCAAATAAATAAAGAAAGGCTCATCAATAAAAATGAAGTAGAATAATGGTTGTGGTTGATTTTGTTTAGTGGCATATCAACACATCTATGAGTTATTTAATGACGAAATCTAAATATTTTGAAAGCAATATTATGGCTTTTTTGTACATACATAATTTTATACTTTCAGTGTAAACGTATTTTACATATGTAGTTTGTAGATGATAAAATGTATTGCTGGTGATTTTACTATAAAAATGCATTTTTATACTTTTTTTAATGTGGCATTGTGATGTAAAGTGGTTTCACATTGGAGGCTTGTATTTCACTAAGTCGGTCCTAAAATAGGTTCGACGTACAAAAACGTTAGGAACTTGATATAATAGGTAATGACGCAGTGGTGGTCGCTGATACTTTAGTATCCGACTAACGGTCGTCCGACATCGACTGACTGTACCAACTCTGCGACTGACTCGTTACTATTACTACAACTTATTATTAGGTGGGAGAGTCTATTAACTATAGAATAGGTGTGTTCCACTATAACACATTGTTTTTTATTTCGCTATAAAAACGTATTGTTTGTCATTGTTATAACTTTCCTAGCACTTTGATTCTTGTTTCGACGTTTAGTATTTGCCCATAGCGGGGACCCTAACAGATGCTACCACTCCTTGCTATTGTGTATCTTTTGCTTTCCTTGCGTTGCTTAAGCCATACTAACGTTCTAAATAGAGTGGACTAAAGAGTCAGTAACATTTTTATTAGTTACTTATTAAAGATGGTCTAGTAATTATAGTAATTTTACTAAGTGTAGTTTACATGTTGCATAACGCCGTAACTATGGAGCACCCAGTGAGGATCAAGCTCTCTTCCTTGTACCTGATTTACTGAGCATAACTTAGATTTGACTCAAGGACACAAATATCAACACTAAGTGAGGACTGAACTCGCTACTCCATCATAATTGATCTAGAGATACAAGCCCGTTAAGCTGTACAACATGTCTAAGTGCCCCATCCCCATTGATTAATTATAAAAATAAAAAAGTCGGTAATAATTACAGGTTTCCACCTATAACCCACAAAGACCCATCGCCCAAATTTGGGGCAGTAGGCATTATTAAAATTAACTACGTGGATTTAATAGCAATCAGTACATTCAGAAATACTTAACCGTAAGCCTAAAAATACGAAGCATAGATCATGTTTGGTTCAAGGTAAAAAAAATTGGAGCACAAATTAATAACTGAACTCCCTAAACATTGATAATAATATGTCAAAAGATTATACTAAGTCATACTTCATAAGAAGTTATATTAATTTGGTTAAAATCTCAAAGATTTAGAATAGGACACTCTTTGACAGTAATAGACTGCGCGATCTGCTCCTTAATCTTTACACCAGAACGAGCCGCCTTCCTAAATGAATAATAGGCTGAGTACGGAATCGATTACTGGAGAAATATGTCGGAAGTTAAGTACACATGAGGCAGGCATTCAGTAGACCGATTACGAGTCATTATTAAGAATAACGAGAAAGCGTAGTTTGAAAGTAATAATAAGTACTTATTTATTGCGTGGGACATTATCGAAGCGGTTGTCTGTTCGATGCCAGTGTTAATATTAATACGCCAGAACGTTTATCGACTGGAATTCGGTTCGAAGTTGAATTTCTAGTAGTAGTATTAGTAGTGTGATAGTTGATTCATTTTCTAGCTGTATTCGGAAGGAAATCCGTAGCTGTTTTGAGATTGATTACGGGAGTTGTGTCACTTAACGATGGCGATGTAGTAATGTCATTTTATTGTATATTTATTTCACATTCTGTATGTCTTATTAATACACATGAAGCGTGTTTGTAGCAACCAAAATTAATTAGACCTGTCAAGAAATGGCAAAGCAAAAGACAAAATTTCAAAATATGGACATGTATTTTTTTTTTTTACTAAATATTCACCCAATATAAAGATAAAGGGTTTACATTAAGTAGAGGCTTATTTGAATGAAGTTGTTATATGAACGTAAGTGCAGATTATAAGAATATGAAAGTTTAATAATGGCTGACCCCAGATATGAAAAGTTTAAGAGTCTAGTGATCAAGCAACATCCTCTCCTACCAGGAGTGTTCTAAAAGATAGTGGTTGTTCCTGGAAGAAGGTGTCTAAATGAATGATATGGTAAATCTTAGACATAAAAGACTAAACTGGTGGAATTAAGAAGTGTAGATCGTTGTAAGATTTGTCATGGAAATAGCGACATAATTGCTCACAATTCTTAGGCAGTTTGTGTGAAATTTACCACCGACCAGACTACAAAGATGCGTTTGAGCTATGTGAATGTTGAGAAGAGAAGATTGGGTAGTTGTAGCCCAGATATTGACACATTACTTCATATTTGGCTTCATCTACCAGACGACTTCTCTTAGCATGCAGAGAAAAAGAGAGAAAAGGAAAGAGAAGAGAAAAGGAAAGAGAAGAGAAAAAGAGAGAAAAAGAAAGAGAAGAGAAAAAGAGAGAAAAAGAAAGAGAAGAGAAAAAGAGAGAAAAAGAAAGAGAAGAGAAAAAGGGAGAAGAGAAAGAAAGAAAAAGAGAGAGAAAGAAAGAGAAAAAAGAAAGAGAAGAAAAAAAAAAAGAGAAAAAGAGAGAAATGAAAAGAAAGAAAAAGAGAAAAGGAAAAAGAGAGAAAAAAGAAAAGGAAGAGAAAAAGAAAAGGAAAGAGAAAAAGAAAAAAGAAAACGAAAGAGAAGAGAAAAAAGAGAAAACGAAAGAGAAGAGAAAAAAGAGAAAACGAAAGAGAAGAGAAAAAAGAGAAAAGGAAAGAGAAAAAAGAGAAAAGGAAAGAGAAGAGAAAAAAGAGAAAAGGAAAGGGAAGGGAAAAAGAGAAAAGGAAAGGGAAGGGAAAAAGAGAAAAGGAAAGGGAAGAGAAAAAGAGAAAAGGAAAGGGAAGGAGAAAAAAAGAGGAAAGGAAAGGGAAGAGAAAAAAAGGGAAGGGAAGAGAAAGAGAAGGAAAGAAAAAGCAAAGAAAAGGGAAGACTAAAGACAAAAGAAGGACTAAAGAAAGAGTAAAGACAATAGGAGTAAAGACTAAAGAAGGAAAAAAGAAGGAGTAAAGACTAAAGAAGGAGTAAAGAATAAAGAAAGAAAAAAGAAATAATGTGAAAGAGAAATGAATAAACATTAAATTTTAAGAAACCAACTCAATTTCGTTTCGTATCACATTAAAGAATGTAAAAGAACAGATACACATCGAATTACCGGTTAGTCGCATAATTCGGATCAGTGATGATTTCGAAGTCTTTCTTAATGTGTCTAATACAGAGGCTAATACATTACTTAAGACAAATCTATATAGAATAATGTGAATGTCAGTGTGTCATAATTTTTTAATTAAAGGGACACATCTCCGACTTTCAATAAATCATGTTACAGAAATTTTGGATTCCCAAGCTTTAATTACTGTGATTGTTTTCAAGGATTTTTTTGTACGATAACAATTTTTATAATTTGGAAATAAATTTGGTAATAATCAAAATTAATTGCGAAATCCAGGAAAAATCACCCATGGAATAAAAATAGTTGTTTGTACGGGTATTAAGGACCTACGCACATCAAATTGTCTTTAAATTGAGTGGCAGCAGAAGAATTATTGTTGAACATTTTAAAAGGTAAGCTTGAATATTAATGCAATACTTAAATGCAGCCATCAATTTTGAGTTATTCTGTAGTTTATTGTTGCCTATCGCATACGGCAGCAGTATGTCTCACAAAAAGAAATCTCCGCTAACAGAGGAACAGATTGCAATCAAAAGAGCCAAGGCCTCAGCGAGGAAAAGAAAGTCCCGTGCAAACGAAAACCCAGATCAAATGGCATTCAGGAGATCTTCCAATGTTGAGCATATGCAATGATTTAGTGGTTCTCAAACTCCTGAACAAGCCGAAGACCCAATCAAGAGCCGGCTGCAGGAGCTATCTTAAATGCCGCCTGATAGGCCGGATTTTAAGCTAGTATAAAATATATTGGATATGTTCTTGCATTTCAATATGGGCAGAGAATCTTCTACAAGACAGCGTAAACGATTTTGAAATATCGAGATTAGAAAAACAGAGTAGAATAACTCCTGCACAGACGGGGCATTACTGCTTCCTTTTTGCCACGTACGACTGGTTTGGACGCAACGTCGCAAGCCTCTAGTCTCTAGTCTTATTTCCTAGTCTTATTTCCATGAAAAAATGTTCAGATGAGTACCATAGTTTAGTTATATCAATTCAGACCTTTACGGATAGGACACGCCGGGCTGCTCTCCACAATGTCAAAATGACTCTCCGCGTTACATTTTTAAGGAGGAAGTTCCATTTAAACAACTTCCTCCACCCACAAGCACTACGATGTGGAACTGCATAGGCGGGGTCTTATTCGACTATAATATTTAATTCTTCATTTCTTCTCATAATCTCCATTTCCTACTACCTCCTCTTTCATTCACTCACACACCTCATCATAAACATCTTACGGCACCACTGTACTTTGAATTGCTCTTGAGCTTATGATTGGTTTCAATTGATTGAACCCTTTACATGTTATTTAAAGACCCCCACACTCCCCGCAAAAAATAGCTTGTAAAATTTTTTGGTGGAAGTGGGAGTCCTACTTTCCGAGCCATTATCCATTACATCACCTGCACATCCAAACTGGTATTCCCAAGCGTTAAACCATCTAGGAATTGACCAGGCTCGACATTACTTAACTTCGGTGATCGTACGGAACATGTGTTTAAAAGTGATATGGCCGTAATCCCCTTTGTATTAGGTGTGTGGGTGCTTTTATATATATATATATATATATATAAGTTACATACGGACAAAACAATCGTTCGTTTCCGTTTTTCGTCTTGTAACAATTTATAATAAATAGTTATTGCTCTACTCAAGGTATTAAACCCTCTTTTGAATTAATGCTGTGAACGTTTGAATTTATATTCTTTTCGTTTTAATTACATTTTGATGGCTATATATATATATATATATATATATATATATATATATATATATATATCACGTTTAGTCTTGTATTGCCCAAAAATTCGTTCGGCTTTTTTAAGCATATTTATTACTTTATAATCGAATGAACTCTTTCGCCAAACCAATACATTTTGTATTGACAAATAAGCATTTTCTTGATAACAAACATCTCTATCTGTATATATATATATATATATATATATATATATATATATATATATATATATATATATATATATATATATATGTGTGTGTGTGTGTGTGTGTGTGTGTGCATAATAGCGTTTTAACAGGACAATACTGGTGAATATATTAAATTGTCATGTCTTGAAAAGAAACCGCAACAACAGCGAACGTAAATTGCCTCGATAGACATGAAAGATAAATGCGATCCACAGTCATAATAATTTCAAACATTTCTCGCTTTGAACTAAATTGAATTCACCATCAAAGAATCTTCCAACGAAACAGTATTTCTTCTTAATATTGATTCGAAAACAGAAGCGCGAAAATATACTTAGACACTAATTCACAAGTATATCTCATTGATTCCTGCTCAGGTTGAATACAGGGGTAATATCTTCTTGGTGCTTCTTCTGAGCCAGAGAATGTAGTAACAAGAGAGCGTTTTATTCAAGTGTTCATTTATCTGGTCTCTTCTCTTAGCGATCAGCCGAAGGAAGAAAGCACGTCGCACATGCTTTTTTAAAGGACATTTTTGGATACAAATCACTGTGTTTATGGTAGTACCTGGTGTTATTAGAGCACTTGGAAGAGGTCAAAAGATTAAGAAAAAAGAAGAAACAAAAAGCAGCAGAAATCCTAATTTTGCTTACCAATGAGATGTTCTGTCAAAAAAAAAAAAAAAAAGTGGGAGGGCAAAGCTTTCGTAATTTTGTCTTTTCAATGGTATTTCATCATTGTCACAGCAGACTTAAAATCATTAAATATTTAAAGAAAATACTGTCTATATTTCTGCGATCAGGATTATATACAATATTCTGATTTGTGCAGTGTTGTCCCCACCTTTATTGTCATAATAGCAGCAAATTCAAAAACCTTACGACTCATACAGCAATCGCTATCACTTGGATTAAGATATTTTTGCCCTTCCTTGCCTTTAAAGGAGTGCCGTTTGCCGTGCTGATGTGGCTACATGCCTTACTTCTTGCCTATCTGACACTGCGAATTTTTTCTAGGCTCTATACTAAACATTAAATCTATTACGAAAAAAGAACTAAACAAAATGAACACAAAATGATCAGCTTTAAAAAAGGAATCGTAACTGGAAAAATCGGATGAAAAAAGAATGTTAACAACAAATACTTTTTCACACACAACCCAGTTCTGCGGAATCAGAATCAACGTTGAGTTTAAGCAAGCGAATGAGCCAATTGGAGTAAAATGCCATGCAGATTTAAAATTTTCCTTTTTTTTTTTGCATGCTAGCATGCTAGTTAACATTCGTGTCAGTCAGCTGTTGGCTCTCACGCTGGCCAATAGAATCTTTCCTCCCTATTCGTGGCAGCCAGCTATAGGTCTCACACCGGCCAGCAGAAAATGGCCGCAAACTACATGAAAACTGCCAGAAGCATGAAAAAAATCCATTATTTCCATTATCGATGGGAGTTGGGAATGCAAAGTCGGTCTTGGCCTTCCTGCTAACTTGGAGCATGTGCATGCAAATATTGGTGCAAATCCGTCGAAAATTGCGGCCGTGCATTCGTTATACACACACACACAGACACACACACACATCCTGCCTTTTATATTAATTCTTGGCTCACTAGATAAAAGCATTGGTTGAAGTAATCCATTGACTTGATCTAAAGAATTGTGAGTTCAATACCTGGTCACAGCAAAGGTGACCGAAAACTTGGTGAGTTGAGTTACTAAAGAGAGAACTGAAACCGAGATATCAAGGCATGGAATGTGGAACTAGAACAATATACACCGTTGGACGAAATCAATGGTTCAGTTTGAAATTCTAGCGTATATATCCTGAAGAATGCCTCAGTGTAAATGACCGAAATGTCGTGAATATAACAATGAAGATGAGGACAACAGTCCGAACAATATTAAAAACGAAATAAATATATGTATCACAAAACTGACCTCCCTATTTTCTAATGAGATTTCCGATTACATTAATTGTTGGAGTCAATGCCGCCTTTAACTATAATCGATATCAGGAAAGCAGGTTCCAATAAATATATCAATTTATTATTTTATAATTAGTATTTTGTCATCATAGTCCTTTATTATATAGGAATAAAGTGTCGCTGCCGACACTTGAGTTTGAATACAGATCACCAGAGAGCAAATACAGGCAATTCCATTTGTTTTTTAATAAGTAGATCACGTGAAGGTAAAGAAAATGTGTATATGAGAATTAGCGTGGCGTCTAAGGGTTTACTATACGGGTTAATTCGAAAGTGTGCTTGTCAAACTCTCTGCTTCCGAGCAAAGAGGAACCCAGACGAATCTGTGCCGAAGGTCAGATTCTCGTCTGGGCTGGTGGACACCTACACGACCCCGTTTTTACGGGGTCTACGGGAAATTTTTGGCCGTGCTTACGACTCAGATACCTCACAATAAACTTGGCCTTTTGCCGCATCCGACCGCGTGAGGCGGTTAGTGAATATCTCACTATTCGGTGGGTACTTTCCAAGTGATTATTATCGAGCAAGAACTATTAGTGCGAGTGTTATTCGAAGGCGTCTAACATCAGTATTGTTCAACGGCGTTACTATAGTTGTATCTGCTATTACAAAGTCTCTGCTACAACGAGTATTACGAAAGTGGAAACGCGTGTCCGTTGACAAAACAAAAATATCCTTGCATCATCTCTCAAAATTTTCAAGATTCTCTTCATTATTACAATTATTTTCTTAATATTACTCTTCATGTTATTGATTTCTTGTCCGAAGGAACTCAGTCAAATCACTTCTTTATGAAGATGATCGATATATATATATTATCTACTTTTCTGCAATGATCACAAAAGAGAACGAACTAATTTTTGAAAGTGAACATCAAGTGCAGTTTTTCAGGATTTCCACGCAATCCTGAAAATTAATCCTCAACCGGTGTGATTTTCAATAATTTAATTCGTATTCTTCGGGAGTTAATACAGAACAGTATCGACAAAACCGATCCTCTTCCTGAGTTAAAAACAGTCATTTTTTATTGTCCATAAAATACAATGCTTAAATGCTACTCAAGGTAAAGGGTTACGGAATGATGCTGATGTTGTATAGGCGCAAGAGAAGGAAGTGAGTGCAGATTATAAGGATATGTAGGATATATAAATGTTTTCCCTAGATTTCAAAACAAAACAATCTTTTCCACAAAGGAGCGGTTATTGGGAGTGAAGGTAGTTCGTCTATGTGAACATTGGAATCAATGGACCTCATTGAGAGAGAGAGAGAGAGAGAGAGAGAGAGAGAGAGAGAGAGAAAAGAAAAGAAAAGGCGTTCATCGTGACTAAAGTAAAACCCCGGGTTTGATCGGAGATGACATATTTAATCTAGCTTCTTTTTTTCATTTATTCATAAAAAGCCATTACACAAACCGTTGAGCTGTTTGAGCAAAGTCAGAGAAGAGATCAATTGAGTTTTGAAGGTTCTACAGTAAACTGTGCTATTATCTATGTAGAAGTTTACGAATAACCTGAGAAGTTTTTATATATATATATATATATATATATATATATATATATATATATATATATAGAGAGAGAGAGAGAGAGAGAGAACGTGAAAATCGTTACACTATTGCATCTCAACAGGTGATTGTAAATTAGTGGTGAGTGAACGATTTATTTAGATTTAAAGGTTTTTAAATCTAAATAAATTGTTCACACGCCAGTAATTTACAATTGCCTGATGAGATGCATTTGATACGCATCGGAACACGACGACAATTTTGTAGCGATTTTCAAGTGTTTTCGATGTAATATTCTAAAATAAATAATATTGGTCTACTTTGTATTGAGCTGTCTTTTAAATTAAATGTTACAAACGTTAGAATATTACTTCCTTCATTCTCATCTTATATATATATATATATATATATATATTACAGTAAGGTTCACCCTGTCGAAGACCCAAGGGTCACTCGAGCTAGAGGGTTACGATAAGGGGTAGTTTATATGGATAGGAGGGGGAGATAAATGTTGATACTAGACATGAAGAGTGATCGGGGAATTCTTGGGAATCTTTTTCATAGGACAGTGGTTCGCGGGCAGAAGCTGTTTGTTTACTTATCGCCGATGGAATATGAAGGGAATGTGGGTGGTTAGAAACTACCTAAGTGGCATGGCGAGTCCGACTTTTGAAGGTCCGACCTAGTTTAATCAGGAGAGGCATTTCGTCAGAGCTCTTAACACGGTAGTAGCGACAGAACAGTAAGAGACTTGCTACATCCCGCCCATGAGAGAGAGGTTGAAGAGTAGAAAATAATTCTTCAACGAGGACTCGAAGACGCTTTTCAACTCTATCATGACTGAAAGGTCAGTCTGGGTAGCATATCAATATATTTATACATAACAATACATAACGAGTAATAATGGTATGATGAACAAAATAGCCTTTTTTTTTTAAAGCCAGCAAATAAAGTCACACATGAAGCAAGCAAATGCGGTGATCTTAAATAAATCTCGTTGTTTTGTTCCGCCTTTGCGAAAATGGCGCCTTTCTTCCTGTCTGTCAGTTTCATCTTTAGGCGGTCAGCTCAATATCCGACGTTGGAATGGAAAGCATACAATTTGGCAGCTTTTAGTAAAGACAGCTTCCCAAACTTCATCTCCAGTCGATTCTGCTCTTTCAGAAAACACCGTCAAGTATAAAAGAGAGAAATAAAAAACAACAACAGAGAAAAGAAATAAAATATCTGTGTCTGCTTTATATGAACTGACATGTTTCTTTTGAAAAAGCTGTGTCCCCATTCGGATTCGGTTTTACTTAAACTTTCAGTGTGTTTCTATTACTTTCTTTATAATATTATATATATATATATATATATATATATATATCAGTAGACCGTGACAGGTTTTGGGGAAGGTGTGAGTGTGTGTGTGCGCACGCGCAGACACACACACTATATATAATATTATTTTAGTATTTGTTTACAGCCAGTCATGTCTCGCATTTACCCTTCGTCTACACATTGTGGGTCTCCGCCGCTCTGAAGACGAAACTTAAACAAATGTGACTCGTTGATGTTGCAGGATTCGATAGGGTGGCACGCTTCGTTACGCACTGCCTTGTTCAACTTTACTTGGTGGTCAGCGAGACGCTTACTTATACAGACACTGTGCGGATGATCAGTTCACTATGGCGTCTCTCCTTTTGTCCATCGACCATTTCGAAAAAAAAAGTCTTTAGTGCCACAAACAACTATTTACTCATTTTAGACTTGTCTGGCACAAGGCTGCTCGTCTTAAATATTCAAAGAGCATTTTGTTTCTTTCCGTCTCTAAATAGAGGAAAATTACTTGATTTTTTTAGAAACCATTTCCGATGTCATAAAAGAAGCTTTTAAGGAAGCAAGACTCAAAGACTAAGACATCTGTTCGACAGACAACACCACCCCCGATAGAATGAGTCTTCAGATCCCACCATTTTTATAAAGGTGAGGTGATCCATCAGACAATTGATCTCCAACACTGATGTGGCATAATAATGGCTCAAAACACTGTTTAAGGCAAAATGAAATAGGAATTAGTGGAGGGTCATGATCGCTTACGTCCTGAAAAGACACTGCACATACACATATACACGGTGGAGTAATGGTGAGCGGCTTGTATTAAGGAATCAGAGAGCTGAGTTCGAATTCCAGTCGAATCAATTACCTTCCCTTACGTTCCCGTGGGGAAGGTATGAATCCTCTTCTCCCTCGAGCTATGGGCCTTGGATGGCAACTGGTCGAGGAGAAAGATAACTTTGAACTCAAAACTTGCGTTTGTGGACCTTGTGGCACGTAGTGAACCAGGTCTTTGTATTTGGTCCTTCAAAAAAGTATGGATGGTTCTGCACAAAACCTTTACCACTATAATCAAATCTCATGTGCTGGTGTCGGACTGTCGGTTCCTACGAACTGAGTTAATTGACCCTCATACGTCGAATTCGACAGGAGAGTTAAGTGTATATATATATATATATATATATATATATATATAATAAAAAGGCTTAAACACTAATATTCCATGGTCATAATTTATTTCATTGGAATCGTAGATACGATCCAATTCATCAGACCTACAAATTCAAAAAGAAAAGAGAAAAAATAACTCCGGAAATAAAAAATAGAATTCAGAGTGTGGGACGAATGTTAGAGCTAAAGAGAGAGGCAACAGACGAGAGAAGGTGGGAGATTAAAACTTAACAGAGAGAAGTTTTAGAGAGGTGAGTTAAAGACAGTTTAAGTGAGAGAAATATGAATGTTGTCGGATGTCTAATACATTAAGGATGTAATCGGAAAGGATACAGTTTATGTATGTATGTATATATATTTATATATTTTGTATAGGTATGTGTATATTTACCACTAATATTATCTCTCTCTTTATATATATATATATATATATATATATATATATATATATATCGGGAAAGGAAGAAACTCGTATATTAATAATATTGTAATATTAAATATATTCAGACATATCACGAGATGAATACAAGTTACCTTCTAGACATAGTAACCCTTAGTGGATTTACTAATTTGATTTTGGGGGTTGGGTCGATTAAAAACAGGTAACATTATTCAACTATTCATACTGTTCGGACTTTTGTCCTAATCTTTAGTCATATCCACGACATTTAGGCCATTGTATAACCCGACCTTCTTCAAGTGCTCTACTTTGGAATTTAGAACCGAACCCTTTATTTAGTCCACAGCGGTAGATTATTCTAGTTTTCACGTGTCATGCCTTATCTGGTTATCTCAGTTTCAATTAGTTCCCTTTAGAAGGCCGTGGCGTACAACGACCAAAACGTCATGAATATGACAATAAAGATGAGGACAATAGTTAAAACACCTCATCTCGAAAATATAGAGAGATCATTGCTCAATTATTAAATTACACATGCTCCCCTAAAAAATAAAATAAATTAATTAAAGATTAGCGCAATTTTTTATGTTATATTTGTTACCCGATTTACTAGGTTTTAACTATGTATTTAGCTATTATATGACGTAAAAAAAAAAGATTTGACTCCCATTTATTGGGTCACTGTCCTGGAAGAAGACAACGGCTAATGAAACAGCTGACGAAATGAAATTGATGTACAGTGCTTATAATTATGCTGACAAAGAATGAATTCGAACAAAACCTAAGAATAACAACGAATAATTTAAGATAACCTTGCCTATTGTGCGAGATCCGATTTCAATAAGCAAATATATTCAACCTAATTACAATTAACACTAGGAGCAATAATTCAATTATGTTGATCCGATTGTTCAATGAGGCCTGTAGTGTACTTGCAAAAATATCGTGATGAGATATCATTTCTATTGTCATCACTTTGTCTTCTTCCATTTCATCAACTGTTTTATTGAAGTAATTGTCTTTCTCTCAGACAGCGAGCACAGTTAACGGTAGTCAAGTGAAAAAATATTTCTGTTTGAACTCTCTAAGGAAAATTTAAGAGGAAAGAAAATAAATACAAATTGTGTATTAGTAATCGGAGTTCTCATACTTTTTTGGTTTAAAAACACATTTTCGTTTATTGGTATCGAGGCTTGACAATTGTATTCCTAGTGGAATATCTCGTGATAATGGTTCCTTTTGCAAAAGCGAAATTCTCATTCCAAGTTCTGTTTTATCGATATCATTTTCTTCGCTGCTATTGTTATTCCTCTTTATGTGTCAAGTACCATCAGGACATAGACGATCATGTTCGTCCACCTCCTCCCGTCTGTTGTAGCTCTCAGTAAGTTTTGTCTTTTTGTTATTTCTCCCATCCACTTGCTCAGGCCTGCTAAGTATGTTACGCGTTGCTTTTCCTTGTACCTCTTTCCTCCGTGAGGATATCAGATTTTACAAGCCTTCCTTTCTCATTACGTGTCCCAGAAATTTCAGCTGCATCTTCCAGATGTTAAGTATAAGTTACCTCTTTATTTGCATCCTCTCCAAGACCTCATCGTTGCTTGAATGTTCGGCCGTTGGTATCCTTAGCATCCTTCTGTAGAACCACAGCTCGGTTGCCTCGAACCTCCCCTTCATCCTTGAGGAGTTTGTCCAACGTTCTCTACCGTAAAAAAAGGAAAATTTCCCGTAGCAGTTCAGTACTCTTTTTCTGTTTTTCTTTCCACTGTGTCGATTAAGGGCAGTGCCAGATTGGTAGCCAGTTTTCAAGTTCGCTGTTAGAATTGCTAGCTATAAAGCTATTTTTTTATGCTACTAGCTTCTCTCTAACTTCTCGCCTGTGGAATTTTGGTCTGGTTTCCGGCTTTTCACTAAACTATATCAAAAATTTCAACACAGTATTAGTCGTCATCTTGTCTTCTTGAATCCTGTTCTTTTATCATCTGTCTATATTTCTCAGATGAGGTATTGCAATTATTTACATTATTCGAACTGTTGTCATCAAGGCCCAGTAGAAAACAGCATTCGTTGGCTCCAGTGACTTGACCCAAACAGTTGAGAGTTCAATACCTGGCAACGGCGGCGGTGAATAAAAACTTGGAGAATTGAGTTGAAGGGAGATAACCGAGACATCCGAAAGAGTCATAGCACGTCGAACTAGAACAATCTACCCCGGTGGACAAAATAACGGGTTCAGTTTGAAATTCCAATCACATGAAGGCCGGAGAGTACAACGGCCGAAACGTAGTGAACATGGCAATGAAGATGAGGACAACAGCTCGAACAATATAAATAATGTTCTTTTATTGTCTTCCGTTTCTGCCACTCTAAATAGTCACATGCATCCTAGTGGCTTTATTGCCTTGTTTAGGATGAAATGACGAAAAAATCTTTATAAAAAGGAGTTTTTTTTTTAATCTAAAAGCAAACTGTATTTAGATGTCTTTAAAAATTCATGATGGCAAGGTGTTCATTTTAACTGAATTTAATTTGGGGTGAAAACCACACCCAAGCTTACAGTACCTTGTATTCCCAGACGGTCAGTCATTTACGTACTGATAAGGGTCGACTTTGCTTAACTTCAGTGATCAGACGAAAACCGATGTTTAAACGTGATATGGCCGTAAGCTCGAAATGATAATTTATCTCACAAGTGGCACGAGGATATCGCGGGATTAGGGTTTGTATTTTTTTTTTTTACTATGAATCCCGGGGGTGTGGGGCGCTGTTGCATGCGACAGCTTCTAGGAACCACAGGTGAGAGCTGGGTGACAGGTGAAAACCAGTCGAGCTGCCCTGAAAAGCACATGCCGAACACCGTGCTAAAGGTAGTACCTCTCCCTAACAACCCATGGGCTGGCCAAACCAGATTGAGGGTAGCCGACGGGTCTGAAACCCTCGGTGAATTAGGCTTGGGCCGTGTCAGCCCTACTACATGCGAAGACTGACTCCCCGCGGAAGGAGCGGAAGAGATCACCTGTGGATCCAACGGTTGTGAAAGCGGTGGCAGTAAGTGTTGTGGAGCACCCTAGAGCATGGACTGAAGCCTGGCAGTCTCCTGTCGTAACGGTTCCCCGTGCCACTGGATCAAGACTTCCCAGGCCGAGAGAGTGGCATTGTTCCCGTGCAACGATCTTCTCACTATAAAATCCTCACGCACAGGTCCGTTATGCAACTTATTACTCAACTAATTACTGTGAAACACTGTCCTTTCATTTACGGTATCATGAATTT